TAAAAATAAAAACATGAATTAATATCTTGTGACATATGAAAAATATATGAAATTCAAATATGAGTTCATTAATGAATTTTTATTGCCTCATAGCCAAGATCAGTCATTACATATTGTTATTGTTGTCATTAAGTGCTGTCTAGTTGGTTCCGACTCATAGCAGCCCTGTGTAGGGTTTCCGAGGAGCAGCCGGTGGGTTTGAACTGCAGACCTTGTGCAGTCCTGATCCTAGTGTCACACCAGCTGCTTTTAACTATAACAATAGAGTCAAATAGTGGCAAGGCAACAGAGATAAAATATTTGCTATCTAGCCCTTTACAGAAAAAGTTAGCCAATCTCTGCTCCACACAAGCACTGTTCAAAAGAGCTTTTAATAATTATGGAAATGTTCTATATCCGTGCTGTCCAATACAGAAATCACTAGATACATGTGGCTATTTGAGTACTTGAATTATGGTTAATATGATGTTGTTAAGTGCCATCAAGTTAGTTCTGACTCATAGATGCCCTATAGAGGTATTTCTGAGGAGCAGATGGTGGGTTTGAATCATAACACTTTGTGGTTAGCAGTCCAGTGCTTAACCTATAGCGTCACATCAGGATTCCAGTTAATATGATTGAACTAAAGTTCATTTAATTTTAGTTAATTTAAATAACCATATGTGATTTCTTGTTAAGTGCCATCAAGTCGTTTCTAACTCTTAGGGACCCTATAAAGGGTTTCCGAGGTACGACTGTTGAGTTTGAACCACCAACCTTGCAGTTCAAACTGACCTTCGGTCCAGTGCTTATTCACAGCACCAGTGGCTACCGTATTGGACAGTAGATTCTTCTCAATGTCCTGTATTGTTTAAGACACCCTTCCTATACCTCTATGGATTCCCAGCCCCTATCTTTCTGACTCCAACCTAGACTATGACATTTACTAGGGTTTCTTTCTGGGTTCTCAACTGTCACAACTATAATCTAAAATGTGATCAGTTTATCAAGTTTTACCCTGAAATGAAGTAAGTCGCATTATTTGTACACACATAAAGAGACACAATTTTCTTTGTGTCAGATGATGACACTGTGGATATATTCTTTCTTCTCTGCATGAAAGGAGACAAGTGGAAAAGCCCTCCACATACTGAATCTCTTGTTGCTGCTGGAGCCTGTAATATGGATCACCTCTCTCCAAACACGTTCACAGAAGCTAAGAACAGTGGATGTACACTTGCCATTTGTATCTCAAGGGGGAAAAAAAAATCTTTCATCACTGAATTTTCTTTTCTCCTTCCAGGCCTAATAAACTGAAGTTCACTGATTTCGCTAGTTTAATAGATGCTTGTTTTTTACTGTCATTTTTAGCTGGGCAAGAGAACAACCCCCATACTGTCTTGATCTTGGCTAGGAGCTCTAGTGAAGGCATTTAAAAAAAAAAAGCAACCTACTAAATTAAATCCACATAAATGGGTTTTTGTTGAGACAGTAGTTGAATTAAAAGAAATTGAGTTAAAACTCATAAAAACCAAAACTTTGCAATATCTTTAAAATCTAAAAATCTTCACGTTTACTCTCTAGGAAAAAATGAGTTTCTGTAAACTTCCAGATTAAAAAGAGAATACCTAGCTCTCTTTTTCTAGATTAGTTACAGCAAGCAAGAAAAACCCTTTCTTGATTTTAAACATCCAGCTCCAAGGCCAAAGAATCCTAAATCTCTACAGAGAAAGTCTCCATTCTCATATATTTGTTGTTAAGTGCCGTCGAGTCGGATCCGACCCATAGTGACCCTATACAGGGTTTCTGAGGAGCGACTGGTGAGCTTGAACCGCCAACCTTTAAGTTCAAATGGCTTTGCAGTCTGGCACATTAACCCACAGCGCCACACCAGGACCCCATTCTCATATAATATACTACTCTAAACTTATATAACTAAGACTAGATTCTGCTTGGAAAAGCAAAGCACAAAACCCCTGAATTCTCTAGGTACTGTATAAATGGATAACAAACGAACCCAACCATCCAAAAAGAGGTACAGATATTTAGGCTACAACTCAGAAATGTGAGAGTTCCCTCAGGCCAAGCTGTCCCAGAGTTACAGAGTCAGAGCAGTGTTGTAAAGCACTAAAAGGCTATCCTAGGTGAGTTTGCATTCAAGCTAAGAATTTCCAGTCAGCTCTAAATTAGGCTATTCATCACTGAGCAACTGAAGGCCATCTACCCTCAAGTTTCTCCCATACTTCCTCCCTGGTGTCTCCGAAAATAGAGAGACCTTATACCACCACCATGTGAACTAGACAGGCTTTCACAGTCTAATCATGAAAAGGAGAAGTTTCCAAGTTAGTCTGCCATTTACCCATGTGGCTCCAGTTGCATATTTTGGATGCTGAGGTGGGTTTTTGTAAACTTTGCTTTTAACACAGCACACAAAATGGTTGTATTACCTGATCTCTAGCAGTTCCTGACCTGATATTTTTATTTGTTTTTTGTTTGTTTGTTTCTTTTCTAGGTATGCAAATACAATCTATCAAGGTAGAAAATTCCATCTAGATTCCTATGTGCTCAGGCTGTTGTTCAAATAAAAACTTTGGTGTTTTGTTGTTGTTCTTTTGCCTCTCTAGGCTTTTCCCCTCCTGCCTTTCAGTTTTGAATTAAGACAAAAAAAAAAAAAAAAAATCAAACCCACTGCCCTTGAATTGATTCTGACTCATAGCATGTAACATATGGTTTCCAAAACTATAATCTCTCTGGGAACAGTCTACTACAGCATTCTCCACAGAGCAGTTGGGTGGGTTCGAACCACCAACCTTTTGGTTGGCAGCAGAACTCTTTTGACACAAGGGTGAGTGAAAGATTACCCATGTTCCGGTTATATGAAAATGCCCATCCACAGCTGATGACCATATTGAGTGTACATGTGAAATAATTCTGTCGAACAGATGAATGACAGTGGATTATGTGATAAATCATTTGCAAATGAGCTATGGCTCTGCCAAATAATCCACACAACATACTTGGGTTTTGAAGTTTGTGCAAGATAGGTACTGAAACAGCTCACAAAAGAGCATAAACAGAAGCATCTGGACATCTGCAAACAAAATTTGGACTGATAGTAGAAGGGAAGTAAAAGTTTCTTTAAAAAAATCATTACTGGTGACAAGTCATGGATTCATTACTATAAGCCTGAGAATAAGCAGCAGAGTATGGAATGGAAAGGTCCTCAATTGATGACCAAGAAAAGTTGAAAAGTCAACCTTCAGCTGGAAAATTGATGCTTACAGTTTTCTGGGATTCTCATGGGCCAATATTGGAACACTATCAGAATGTTTCAACAATCAATAGTACTTGTTACAATGAGATGCTCACTGAAGAACTGAAGCCTAAATTTTGGATTAAATACAGAGGACTGCTATTCAAGGGCATTGTGATCTTGCATAACAATGCATGTCCACACACCTCTGCCTACACTGTTAACACTTTGCAAATGCTTCATTTTGAAATGTTAAAGCATCCTCCCAATAGTCCTGATCTTGTTGTTTGATCCCCTGAAAACAGTCCTTTGAAGATGAAGATTCACCTCTGATGAAGAAGTGAGGGCAGCGATGCATATTCGTGGCTTGCGGCTCAGCCTAAAACATTTTTTTAAAACATTTTTTAATAAGTGAAAACGAAATCTTGTTGACAGATGGACAAAGTGTATTGAAAAGCAACAAGATTATATCAAAAAATGATGTATTTGTCTTTTCTAAAAGTTGATTAAAATAAATTCTACAACCAGAGTGAAGATAACTTTTGTCTCACCGTCATATTAAGGGAACCAGGTAATTCTAATGCAGAGTTCAGGGTACTATTGCTCGGTAAACTATGAACTGCTTATTGAACTCAATGTGACTTCATTAATAGTACTAAGGTCTGCAGGAGGCCAGAGACTTTTATTTTCCCTAAAGAAATGACATTAGCTGTCCTTTCCACTTTCTGCACATAGACTGAACAGGAAAAAAAGGGACTACTACATGTTTGCATCACCAGAACAAGAATGGGGTAGGTTTTCCCTGGGAATCCAGAGTGATCAGGCTCTGCAGAGCCAATGCCTAGAGCTATGCAACAAGCAGACTTCACAGTTGAGTGAACATCAATGAATAATGAGTGGAGGTATTTCAATGCAAATAAATGCCGAATATGAAGGATTAAAGAAAGGGGAAATTAATCTTTTTCATAACACAGGGCACTTTTTTTTCTCTCCCTCTCTCTCTTTTTAAAGTTATGCACACAAATGCTGGAGGGAATCCAACTTCCCCAGTGTGATGGTGCTGCTTTATAAAAAGCAGAACGTACACATTTAAGGCCATGAATTTCCTCAAGGTGCCAGCAACTGAGATTCTGACAGCTCTTTAGAACTGCCTTAGAAACAAAGTGCTTCACTAAGTGGGGCCAGACCAACTAGTAAAAAAAATCTCATTTCAAACCAACCTCCTGTTTTTCCAAAGCTTCTTGGGGTTTGGATGCTTTAAAAGGTTTGGTTTCAGTGTTGGTGGGTATTTACTGAAGGGATTTTATTTTTTAGTTTGTTTCTAATTGCCCTTTCCAAGTGATGTTTTTACAATACCAACAACACAAATAAGGCAGCTTTGTGCTGCTTTAGCAGGTGGCTCCCTATCTTCTGAGTTAGATTGTCTCATGTTCTACCTTCTCAAACAAAGGACACAGTAGTAGCACTTCTTCAGGTCATCCCTCAAAAAAAAAGAAGTCTGCCAATGAAAGTTACTCTGTTTTTGATGATTGTTTACTTCAGGGAAGTTGGACTGGAGAGCAGAAAACTTGTTAAAATTGTTTTTGTCCCGTCACATGTTTGTATTAAACACAGGATTCCTAAGACCTCTGCTGGAGTAATTAAAAAAATTTTTTAAACCAGTGGGTTCCTCAATAAATTAACCTAGGTTAAGTATTTTCCTACTACAAATTCAGGCTACAGAAAGGACATTTCCAACTTTTTTATCTTATCTAATACCGAAGTCTTGGAATTTTGAAGTTGGTTTTTATAAATAATGTACTCAAAGATTTTGACCCATCACTGGAACTAAGAATCCCACACTTAAAAAATACATATATATAGGTTTTGGTTAAGAGTTTAAATTCTTAGAGACTCAAGCCTTTACATTTCTACTGCAATTTTAATTCCAAAGGACCAATGGATAGCAATTTAGTACACAAAACTCCACTCTGCTGTATAGCTTTTTTCCTCCTGGCTCAGACAGCTTTATTCTGCTTCATTAACCCCTTCTTTGCTCCTTGATGGATCTTGGAATCCAGCTTCCCTATAAGAGAGGAAAAGAAGCCTCATTATTTATTTTTGTATTTGCAATGCAAATCTTTTGTGGCCTCCCAGGTCTTCTGGTTATTGTGTATCTGTCACATTCAATTACCTTGCTTTCAGACTCAGACTCTTAAAACTTCAGAATATCATTCTATCAGAATAAGGAGGCAGTGAGAACATTGTATAGGGCAACACAGACACACATTTGTCCAAGGGATGCAGAAGTTACTATTTCTCATTTTGTAGCTACTAAAAGAGCTATCAAATCTTTTCAGGGTGTCTGATAGTAAAGGCAACAATTTTAAGACAAATTTATTACACACATGTATTTGGCACAGTGGGAAACACATTCTTTTGACCAGTTAACTGGCTGAGCATAATGTATGAGCCTCCCTCACAGTGAGAAAAGCAGTTCATCTAACCCCTCTGCTGTCTCAGACTTAGTAGGGAGTGACCTGAAACAGTGGAGTGGAATTCACATGAATGCTCTACTGACAAAGGGCTACTATCACAAACTAAGAAGGGCAAAGGTTATAGGCTGTATGACTCTTTTAAGTGTTAAGCTTAGAAAACAAGCAACCTTCCTGTCCCAGGTGACCCTAATGAGAGGTACTTTACTGATGTGGTCTCTGACCTCTGTTTGATTCCTCTGATCAGGATGGAGTTTGCTTCAGTAGTAGCAACCTTAGTGGCTACCCATTTCATGAAGAGAAACGTAGATTTCCTGCCTGTTTGACCTAAGAACAGTTCCTGCAGTTTCCTGTATCCTACAAAAAGTCTTATCTCAGTCAATAGCAATGCTGACACTGGAAACAGAAAAACAGTTCAGCTCAGTGTCAGCATTCATAAATAAAACAAAACAAAATTTAAAGAAAGAGCCTCTCTTCAAGGGCAGTGATGTGCACTAAAGGTTCATAAGCCACACCACTACCCTTAGACAGTGACTGTTGTTTTCATTTTTTTTTCAGCAACCAGTTGTAACAGAAAAAACACTGAAGTGGAAGTTAGGATACTCAGATTCTAGTCTACCTTTCTCTGGTATTAACTAACTGTATACCCTCCTAGGGCAAGTTATTGGATCTCTTTCTCTAGACTTCAATATTCTCATTTGTCCAATTAAGATAAGAATTTGTCCTGCCCACTGCAACCAGTATATTGGGAGAAAAACCACAACTGTGAAAAGGTCTTGAAAAGTGTTCCAACCCATAGCAACCCTATATAGGGTTTCCAAGGAGCAGCTGGTGAGCTTGAACCACTGACCTTACAGCTTAAAAGGACTTTGCAGCCCAGTGCATTAACCACAGTGCCACACCACAGAGTATCCAGGACTCCTGAACACATACACACACATACACACACAGAGTATTCAGGACTCATACACACACACACACACAGTATTTACGAGTCCCAAACGCTGCCTAGCTGAAAACAGACATATGCCAGCAATCTGGCAAAGGGCCATGTTGTTAGATGATGTTTAGTTGGTTCTGACTCATAGCAACCCTGTATAAGGGTTTCCAGAGACCTAGTGTGGTGCTATAGGATAAGCACTGGACTGCTAACCACAAGGTCAGCAGTTCAAACCCACCAGCCACTCCTTGGAAGTCCTATATAGGGTAGCTATGAGTTGGAATTGACTGGATGACACTTAACAACAACAGGCATTTCCAAGGCTGTAAAGCCTCATCTTTACAAGAACAGAAAGCCTCATTTTTATCTCACAGAGCAGCTGGTGGGTTTGAACTGCCAACCAAATGGTTGTTGTTGTTAAGTGCCATCAAGCTGAACAGACTCATAGTGACCCTGTATAGGGTTTCCGAGGAGCAGCAGCTGGTGGGTTTGAACCTCCGACCTTGTGGTTCAAGATTACTTTGTGGCCCAGTGCTTTATTCTACAGTGCCACACCAGAACTCCAATGGTAGGTGCTCAATAAATGTTTTCATTAAATTAATTAAACAAAGAAGACACTAAAAATTTCAAAATGTTTTACATCATGGTGGTTGGCTATCTGCTGTGGAGTCGGTTCCAACCCATAGTGACCCTGTACAGGGTTTCCAAGGTTGGAAATCATTACGGGAGCAGAAAGCCTCATCTTTCTCCCATGGAACAGCTGGTAGTTTTGAACTTCTGTGCCTGAGGTTAGCAGCCCGATTTGTAACTACAACACTACCGGAGCTCCTTAAAGGGACTCTTAATAGTAGTCCCACTACTAAGTAATCAAAAATTGCAAGGATCACAAATATAAGAGCATCCATTGTGAAGGTGATTACACCCAAAGTTACAAAGAATGACTGTGTCTCATTCTGGCTCTACAGAACAAGCTAGGGCAGAATTTAGAATTCCATGTAGAGCTCCGGACTTCTAATTCTCTGTATTGAATAAGTTGAAAAACTCAGATCCCAGTTTTAGTCCTGAGATTACCTAGCTGTATAACATTGAAGAAGTCACCTAATCATTGTTGCCCTAAAAATGAAAAGGACTCCTTTGTATCTCTTAATTTTTACCACGGGGACTGTCAATAGTGGCAATTCTTGGGCTAGCTGTGGGCATTCAAAGTAAGGGAAGAAGAAGAATAAGACTTGCTTGAAGAAGCAATCATCTTGAACTGTAGGAACTCTGAACTCAGATTCTAGTTCAACCTGGCATTTAAGACTTGGGATCTGAACAGTGACCCTAGTAAGTAATATATTCTCTTAGTAGCGAATAATAATGTATTTCTCCAATATTTTTACATTTAGTACCTATAGCATTTCAATGTTCAATCACATCCCCAATCACAGTGACTAAATGAAAATGAAATGGATGTGCAGCAGACTGGTGAGAAGTTAAAAAATGAGAAAATATTTATTGCTGATTGATACAACTCTCATAGGAATTTTCACATGCTCTAAGATATAAGGCAGTTGTTTCATGACTTTATAGAACATGTAGTTAAAGTAAAAACATTTCTTTTAACTCTTTATTTGAACACTCAACTTACTTATTTTACTATATTTAACTTCTTTGCATTTCTTAATTTGAGGAGCCACATAGTCATAATGTATATTGTTCTTTTCTGAATTATTTCAATGTCAAAAAACACAATTATTTTCAGATCAAGCAAACTCAAGTTCACATATCCAAAACCAGAAACAAAAAAACATGTATCTCTCTGTCTCTCTCTCTCTCTCTGTGTCTCTCTCTCACATACACACAATACAACATGTAAATGAGTTGTATTCAAAAGTTTATTTGCAAGTCAAAAGTGTGGAACTTGAAATACATTTCTCATAGAACTAACTTATAGAAGATTTCTAAGCCAACCCATGAAAATTTAAGACATAATGCTATAGGTGAAGTTGCTAGTTGTCATTAAGTTGATTCCAACTCATGGCAACCCCATATATGCAGAGTAGAACTGCTTCATGGGGTTTTCAAGGTTGTGACTTCTCTGAAGCAGATTACCAGACCTGCCTTCCAAGGTGCTTCTCAGTAGGTTCAAACCCTCAACCTTTCAGCTAGGAGTCAAGTGCTTAACCATTTGTACCACTCTAGGTCCATCCAAAAGTGAAGTAGAGTATTAATATTATTAATACCATATTGTTAAGAGATGTAGAGTTGGTTCCTACTCATAGCGATGCTGTATAAGGTTTCCAAGGGGCAGCTGGAATCACTGACCCTGTTGTTAGCAGTCCAGTACTTATACTACAGCACCACACCAGGACTCCATTAGTACCAAAGGAGTTAACTGTTTCAAGTAATAATGTATCTAGAGGAAATTGTGATAAACATTCTAATTAAGGAGCAAGTAGGCACTTTATCCTGTGGTAGTGGAATTAAAGCCTTACAACTCCAAGGCATTGGAGGTGGTCCCCTATGGGCCAATGGAGGGAAGTTAAGGCAGAGTTGACGGTTTTTAGAGATGATTGTACAGAAGAATAAAAGACAAACAATAGGAGTTAGAGGGTATAAAAATTTCACATCATATTAAACTCCGAGGTAAGCTGGCTCCACTCATTAGAAGCTTTTTTAGACACAGAGGGCTGGTTGGCCTACCTACTCTTTGCTTTTAAATTTTTCCAACCTATAGTTTCCTACCTGATGTTTCACCTTGTCTGCTCTACCATGGAAGAAACTGCAATCTCACAATTATTCGCCAGCCCTGCTGTTTCTGAAGCAAACAGACAACCCATGTTGTTTTTAAAAGATTTTAACTAATATTAACAATAAGAAAAACACAGGAGGTTATTAAACTTTCCAAGAACATCACTTTTCCTCCCCCATCAAACCTTATGGAGAAAATTGAAGGCCACATATGTACTAAAGGTAAGTGGCTCTCTGTGTGGAGAAAACACAGAAGTAGTATATTTCAGAGAAATATTTAAACTCTCTTTGCATGAACCATTTCCTCAGATGAGCTTAACTAGCACATGAAAATCAAGAAAGGAAGCTAATAATAGAGAACTGCAACTGCAGCTCAAGCGGCAGTAAGTCTGGGAGAGCAGATCTTGCTGCTGCAGCCTTTGCTCCTCCTCCTTCCACCAGTGTCCAGAGTAAGGTAAGAAGCAAACAGAGGCAGAGGGGTAAAATGTCACAACCTGGACAGAAGAAGAAGCAAGATTTAAATGCTAAGTGTTACGTTAAATGCTGTTCAGTCGGTTCTGACTCACAGCGACCTTGTATAGGATTTCCAAGAAGTGGCTGGTAGGTTTGATCTGCCAACCTTTGGTTAGCAGTCCAGTGCTTATCTTACAGTCCTAGAGCACCACACCAGGACTCCTCTAAATAAAAGAAAAGAGAATTTCCAGGGCTACTTGGCTACCATCTGGGGTTCAGTCTGAAGTAAATAATTTATGTAAGTCATGAATAACTTACATTTATAGATTTTCTAGTTTATAAGAATCTCAGGAACATATGTCTCATAAATCATAAGAGACGCTTGAATATATAGTAATCTAAACTCATACACCAAGCATTTTATTTTATGAAAATAAACAGTGTTGCTTAAAGTGACAAGCAGGATCAGTATCACCTGGGAGCATGGCCCAGAAACCAGCGTTTCAACAGCTCTCTATTGTGTGTTGTTAAGTGCCATCAAGTCGGATCTAACTCATATCATCTCTGTATTGGGTTTCTCAGGAGAAGCTGGTGGGTTTGAACCGCCGACCCTACAGTTAGTGGTCCAGTGCTGATCTTACAGCTCTCTAGGAGGTTTTTATTCCCACTAGTTTGAGAAGTACTCCTCTATAGAACACAAAGTGGCTAGTGGGTTCCTAAGGTACAGGGTGAGGTAGCTGAAGACAATGCCTGCCCCACAATCATCCAATTCACACAATGGGGAAGCAATGACATGGGTACAAGACAATGGCAAATAACATGAGCAAACGTGGTCATTTAAACTAAGAACTGCTAATGCTGTTTATAGCAGGAAGTTAGGAAGGGCACAACTAGATGCTTTTGAAACTGCTTTGAAATAGAAGACGCTGCTGTAGGACTAGACAGAGGAAGAGAAGATGAGAATTAAGAAGAGTTGGAAGTTGAAAGAGAATGTCAACAGCATTTCATGAGAAATAATATGCAGTGGGTACTACAGTCACAAATACATAAAAGCAACAGTCATGGAGAAACAAATCATCGAGAGTTTTCAAAAAAGGATAAAAAGCAAGAGGGCTAAGGCAGGAACTAATAATCAAGGAAGATGTGGGAAGTGGTGCCTCCGAAAACGATAATGGAAGAGTGATATTCTTGGATGACTGGATATGAGAAACAATGACTAAATGACAATGATGCCACTGGCACTGCTTTGCTGCTTCCTTTAATGAGTAGTAGAGTGGGGAAAACATACTCTCATGGCTGATAGATGGCATTTTTAAGGTAATTGGGTTCTAAATGGAAGATGAGTGTGATTCATGAGCATGCTAGAAATTGTAGATCAAAGTATACTTTGAAAAGGCTATACTGTAGCTAAGGTAATATTAAAGTTATCAGTAAATATAATTATTTTAATTCTCTAACACTAAGGATGCCATGGAGTCCTGGTGTCGCACTGTGGGTTAATGTGCTGGATTGCCAAGTCAGCAGTTCAGGCTCACCAGCTGCTCTTCAGAAACCCTATACAGGGTTGCTATGGGTCAGAACCAACTCGACAGTACTTTAACAACAACAGCAACAACAAGGATGCCATAGAAAAGGGTAAAAAGAGAACTTTTTTTTTTTTTTAAGTTAAACAAGTGCGATACAAGACAAAAAGAAATAAAATTAGACCATCAAAAAGTATGACTTACAGATTTTTGGATTTCCTTTAATGGGAAACTTCACAATCATTTCCTGGGGATTTGAGCAGATGAAAACAAATGGAGAATCAGATTCTTGACTCATGTCTGGATACTGCAAAATATAAAAAACAAAAAGTTCAGCCTAGTTGGAACAAATTTTGAACTTCAAGCAGATAAAAGAATGTCCTACATTTCAATGTTCAGATATTACTCTGTATTTCACAGTCAAATAAAGAAGAATATGCTCAACAAGCAAGAACAAACCTTCAACTTTCCCCAGATCTTAACATAGTATGCTTACACTGTCTACTGCCTGCCATTTCTGACTCCCTTTAATGAGAACTTCCCAAAAAAGTGATGCCTAACATGTTCCCTAAAGAAGAATCAGGATTCATTGGGTTTTTTGGATTGTTTGTTTGTTTTTAACAAAAGCAATTGTGTGTTTGCTGGGAGTCATGAAGGCAAGCAATCAAGTCCCTTCAGGACAAACCTCCCTCCAAGACTGAACTCAAAGGGAACACATGTGCAGGCATGTAAGCTTGCTGGTGACCATGTTGGTCTACTGGTGAGTGGAAAAGGGGGAATGGCAGCAATGAAGAAATGGGCTGAGTTCAACCACGTTCCATAGACTCCCATTGACCTGGAGATGAGAAAGAGAAGAGCAAGGGCTGGTTGGTCCAAAGTGTGGTGAGACCTGGGACACCTGTGCCCATGGACAAGGTGAAAGCCACGGAGGGCTAGAGCTAAGAGTGAAGCATCCAGCTGATATGAAGTGAGGGGAGATGCACAAGAACACCCAAACTTGCAGACAGTACCCATTTGACCTAGCGTTGATGGCTTGATAATCAGAACTTGACTAGAGGAAGATAAAAAAAACATTTTTCATAAAGGAAACACGTGTAAATTGCTACAATTTGATGAACTTGACCTATACTCATGGATGCAGTAGCTCAAAATACCAACTGAGAAGTAGTGTTCATATCAAGTATCAGTGCTACCCCCTCTGTATACAGGGTAGATCTGGATGGGCAACTTAGGCATTGGCTACCCAAAATGAGGGGGCAATAAAGGCACGAAGTGACTGGCTTACAAGTTTTCAAGAGGGTGTTTAGTTTAAGAGTGTATGGGGGAAGATACGAGTCTCCACTGAATAGTTTTCATCTTGTCTAGACAGGTCTGGTGAAAAGATGGGGAAAATATTCTTATGATTAAATAGTGAGAAACTGCTATCATGACTAACTGCAAGTGTCACAACGGTAAAGGTAGAAGTTCTGTAACAAAAATGAGGGAGTAGTTTATCTTAGAGTACAGAAACAGAGGATCCTAGGGCCATCAAGAGAGGAGAGCACAAGCAGAGTATGGGACCCTATCTAGAGAAGCAGCGACACCAGAGATGGAGACAGAGATAAGGACATGGAGAGAGGGAGCAGCTGAGGACTCTGGACTCATGGAAGGACTGGGAGCTGGTGGCCAAGAGCAGGTTTGCAGAATGTGGCCTTTGGTTGTTTAAATGATTATATATATTCCTGAGTATTTCTGTGTACATCCCTCCCCTGCCAAAAAAAAAAAAACAAAACCCAGAGGGAATGGAAGCAAATATTGTTGAATGATGATGCATGGAGGAGATCGTAATCACTGTAATGAAACAATGGTGTAAAGCCAAAGTTCTCCCATGTAAACTACCACTCAGTTCACAATAAAAACCTTAAATTAAAAAAAAGCAACTGTGAATCAGGAGCTTCAGAGATCTCCTTTTAGAACATCAGGCACTCCCCAGGTTCAATGCAAGTAAAGCACTGGAAGGATTTAAGAAACAACATTTGTGAATATCCTGCTAGAAACAGTAAACAGAGCTCTTTTCTCACTAAAGGGAAGGAAGATGATTCATTCTGAAAGGCATGAACATGCAAGAACTGTTTTACTGGATGAACTCCAGGCTTCCTTAAGGTAAAAAGGCAGAGCAATTCTGGAAATTATTTAGAAGCCCCTTTGGATCTCTACCACAAAACAAATCTATATAAAGATTAGAGGAGTTGTATTCCTTCTGTAAAGATAAAATAGACTATGCTGGTCACACAATCACAAGTTAAAGAACAACTAGGGGGCAGCAAAAAATATTCTCTAGCAATTTCCATGCTTTTTCATCATTTCCTATCTTGGGATGTCTTGTATTTATCATGTTCAACAAATATGACTCAAGTCTGACTCTGGTCAGACTTCATGACCAGAGAGGAGCCTTTCTCGTAGCAACTACCATCAAACTATGAAATTACTTTTCACTTTTATTCATCTGCTATGATGTGTCCTCTGGAATCCTGGTGTGGCGCTGTGGGTTAATGTGCTGGACCCATTGGTTTGAACCACAAGGTAAAACCACTTAACAACAACGTGATGTGTCCTCTATATAAGAAATGGAGGTTTTAGTAAATGAGTAAGAAAATTCAAATTTCTCTGTAACTGTTATTAAGTGCTGTCAAGTAGGTTCTGACTCATAGCGGCCCTGTATAGTGTTTCTGAGGAGGTGGGTTTGAACTGCTGAACTTGCGGTTCAAAGTGACCCTGCAGTATAGTGCTTATCCTACAGTGCCACACCAGGACTCCTCTCTATAACTTGTGAAAACATAAACAAACTTCTTTATTGCCCATGCTGTCCTAGTGATAAGTCATACTGCTGTGGGGAAAAGAGAGGGGATTTTAGCAGCTTTTGGTCCTGGCCACATACCATAAAAGCCATGAAGTAGATGTGGCATGTACTTTAGCAAAACGTAAGCTAAAAATCATGCATCAGCCCAAATCATACTGGTTGTTGTTAAGTGCTGTCGAGCCAGTTCTGATTCAAACAGGGTCAAAATACTCATAGTGGAAAAGAAAGACTAAAGATGGATGGGCAAACTCAGAAAAGTAGTGTCTAGCTAAGATTGTAAGGAGCACTGGTAGGGTAGTGAGTGGCTTATGTCTTGGGATGCTAACCCAAAGATCAGCAGTTCAAATCCAAAAGTCGTTCTGCAGGAGAAAGATAAGCCTTTCTGCTCCCATAAAGGTTTATAGCCTTGGAAACCATATACAGGGTTGCTATAAGTCGTAACTGACTTGATAGCATACCACCAGCAGCAGCAGCTATGATTGCTGATGTTCTGCACATAACCCATGCTGAGGTACTTTGGCACGAATAAGACCAGAGGCTGCTATTAAGATCTTTAAACCTAATTCTACAGAGGTCAAAGTAATAGCAGACACAATTACTGCCTCTTCAATTTTCCTGTTCTCTCTTCTCACTGTCCTAGAAAGTTCAAGGCAAAGGACACTGCAGCCAGGACTTCATAGCTCTACTTTCCCAAAACTACAAGCCATTCATTCCTGTTTCTTCTGCATCAGTAAGTTTTCCCTCTCTACTGGATCAATCTCATTAACACACACACATTCTGTAATGCCTACCATAAAACAAAAAGCAAAAAATTCCTCTCCTGATCCCATTCTCCACTGCCCCATTTTCAGATATCCTTTACAACAAAATTCATCCAAAGATTATTTATGTCTACAGAATTATACACGTAGCAACTACTGAGATGGCATATATTTTTCTATGTATATTTTCACCACAATAAAAAAACAGTATATTTCCAGCCTCTAATTCTGCTCCTGTTTTTTGTTTTATTTTGTTTTTAATTCACTATAGATGAGCTTTCAGCTCCCACTAAAACTATTTTTGTAAAGGTAATTGTTTTCTTCCATACTGCTAAATAAAATGGTTGAGTCTCATCTTAATTGATGTATTTGTCTTAAATGAATTTGACAGAATTCATCTTTCCTACGTGAATACAATCCTCACTTGAATTTCGGGGTACCATTTTCTTCCTGGTTTTACCACTTTTCTGGCTGTTCTTCATCTCCCCAGCTTTTAAAGGTTGGAGTGCTGCCAAGGTTAGGCCTGACACACATCTCTTCTCTCTACATTTACATCCTTGGTGATATCCTTTAATCTCAGAGTTTAAAATAGAGTAAAGAATCTCAAATTAATATCTTTAGCATGGACCTCTCCCCTAATTTTCAGGTTTGCACATCCATTTTCCTACTCAGTATATTTACTTAAATTCTTAACACATATGTCAAAAATCAAGGTCCTCAATTTCCTTCCTGAACTTGCTCTTCTCTTATTCATACCCATTTCAATCAATGGCTACTACATCTTTCCAGATGTCCAGGCCAAAACCCCATAATCAACCAACTGGCAAGTCCTGTCAACTCTACCTTCACCATATATTCAATATCTACCCTATGTTAGGACATCTAAGGCTATTTCCTTATTCTCAGGCATTACAATTTCTCCCTTGTAGTTGTTAAGTGTCATCAAGTAGGTTCTGACTCATAATCACCCTGTTTAGAGTTTCCAAGGAGCAGCTGGTGAGCTTGAACCGACAACCTTGCAGTTCAGCACATTAACCCCCAGCACCACACCAGGACTCCAGTTTCTCCCTAGATTACTGCAATAACCTTGAAACTGGCCTCTGTGTTTTGCCCTTAGACTCCCTGTTGTCTATTGTCATCATAGCAACCAGAGCTATCTTCTGAAAATATCAGATCATGCCACTCCTCTACTTAAAGTTTTCCAGTATCTTTTCATTTCAGTCAAACTGAAAGTCTAAATTCTCATTATGGCCTAGAAGTTCCTACACAATCTGGTGCCCAGTTTCCTCCCTGATGCCTTCTCCTACTACTTTTCCCGATTATCATTCCCCTCCAGCCACACTGGCTTCCTTGTGGTTCCTGCTTCTGGGTCTTTGCACTTACCCCTTACCCCTTCCCGGAAGGTTTTCCCTCTCTTCCTGCAGGACTTTGTTCAAATGTCAATTTAATAGTGAGTCTTCCCTGATCATTCAACTTAAAGCTGGAATACCACTCTCCCACAAACTTGGCACCCTTAATCTCCCTTTCCTACTTAATTGTTTCCCACAGCATGAACAATCATCTGGTACTACATAATTTACTTACTTAAATTTTTTATTTGATCTCACCAAGTAGATTCAGTGAAACCTCCTTGAAAATAGGATTTTTGTCTGCTTGGTTTACTGCTATATCCTCATCACACAGTAGGCACTAAATAAATGAGTATTT